TTTATCATTCCAGATCTGGTGGCCCCACTGTAAGCATATCTTTCCAGAACAAGCATCATGTCATCCCTCTAGCATGATTGGGTCAGAGCCTATCTTTATTAGAGCCTATTAAATTGCAGTTATTAGGATGGTTTTTGAGATCCACAGCTGAGTGACAGGTTATGCGCACTAATCTTGTGATAATTAAGATAATTACTCGATGATCAGTTTGATACTATTAGCTTCAGTCATCATCATGCTTTCTTTGCATCCCCAGTCAAAGTGGGTAGTGCCAAGACAGCCAAGGACCTAGCCAATATGGATAACTCAGTTGGCATGCTGGAAACACAGGTTGAGTGAGGAACCTGTTGTTCATGCAGAGAAACGGTTATATAATTGTTCACCAACTTGCTCAGATTCCAGTCTATAATACTAGAGCCAATTAGAAGTTGCCAAAAGCAAAGACTTTGAGGGCAATAAACATGCTTTGAAGTGCAAGCCAATTATATGGATCCACAGTTTCATGACTAACCTCCTACTGAATTTTATGTGGATCTACTTAGTCTGTATTTTCTGCATGGTCATACGAATGGATTTTGAGATCAACTCATTTCACCTGAGAGTCCATGTAGTATGATAATTACGTTACTAGAGTAACAGGTAAGTGGTTGCAATGTTGAAATAAGGAAACACAGGTTCAAGTCTACTTTTCGCTTGGAAACTCCCAGGTGATTTTGGATCACTTGCTTTATCTGAGCACAATCTACCTTGTTGTTAAAGGAATAACTTTAAAAGCGATCCTACACAAATAGTCCTCAACTTATGATCATTTATTTAGTGACTGTTTGATGTTACTACAGTGCTGAATAAAGTGATTTATGACTGGTCCCCTCCTGTCCTGCCACAAAACAATTGTAGCATCCCCATGGTCATGTGATAAAAATTTGGGCACTTGGCAACCGGCACATATATATGACAATTGCCGTATTCCAGGGTCACGTGATTGCCAACTGTGATATTCCCAGTTGGCTTCTAAAAAAACAAAGTCAATAGGAAAGTGTCAGATTCACTTAAACACAGTGCTTCATTTAACAACTATGGGAAAATTGCCATAACATTGGGCACAACTCACTTAAGGACTGATTACTTCTGTAATGTGGAAGTTTTGTTCCCAATTATAATCATAAATCAAGGATGTAAAATGCACCTGCTAACACGGAAGGAAAGGAAGGAGAAGAGAAGAGGAAACTGACCGTATAAGAGTTAGTGGATACAAATACAGGTAGTCCTCAACTTACAACAATTCATTTACTGACCGTTCAATGTTACAATGGCAATGAAAAAAGTGGCATGACCATTTCTCACGACTGTTGCAACATCCTCATGGTCACGTGATCAAAAGTCAGATGCTGGGCAACTGACTCACATTTATGACGGATGTCGTGTCCTGGAGTCATGTGATCTGCTTTTGTGACCTTCTGACAAGTAAAGTCAATGGGGAAAAAAGATTCACTTAGCAACCGTGTCACTAACTTAACAAACTGCAGCAATTCACTTAACAAATATAGCAAGAAAGATAAAGTGGGGCAAAACTCACTTCACAAATTTCTCACTTAGCAACATATATTTTGAGCTCCGTTGTGGTCATAAGTTGAGGACTATCTGTATATGGTGTAATAATGCATTGCCTAGGGCTCAGAAATAGTTTTTAAGCATTTTCCTCCAAGTCCAGCAGACACAGTGTTAAAAATATTCTATCCCTTGCCTGAAAGATCCTCATGTTCTCTCTCCCCATTTGCTAAATTTTTCTGCCATTGTGCCACGGTATGCCACAAATGTGTGCCAGAGAGAGGTGGGAAAGAGAGGATGGGAGAGACGGACTGTAATTCATCTTATTTTTCATTACTTAAAATGACTACAACCTCTCGTTCAGAGCTTAAACCAAGGATAAAGAGTTATCAATAGAAAGTTTAGCTGCTCCCGCTGATACTGTAGTGTTTTAGCTTCAGCAGACGTGAAGCACTGGAGGCTTGGATGGTGGAGAAGGAGTAGGCCCGTCTCTAGGAGCCCAAGGGCACACTGTTTACAAGTATATGACACTTCAGCACAATTCTGCGTTTCAGTCCCCCAAGCATTGCAACACAGGGCAAACGGGTTTACATCTGTCAGGCAGATTAAATCACCTTCACCGTCTTATGAAATTAGAGGAGGAGGAGGACTGCTACTCCGAAGGAACTGCGTGAGCTAAAGGGGAGGGAGGAAGAAGCCTCCCCCAACATGATTTAACCTGATATCTTGAGAAGCTTGCCAGAAATAGTAGCTGGCAAGTATTCCCCCGTCACTCCCACCTCTCATTTATATACAACAGCCCCCAAAGGGGAATGCATGTGACGGTTCAGATCAAGGAAATGCATGTTGGGGCAGGTGGAACCTGTAAAATACAGATACCACAGGGTATCTGTGGTTTTTCAGCATTTTCTTTCAGTACAGGTAGTGTTCTGTCCTCGACTTGCGACCGGTCTAAAGTCCTCGACTTATGACCGGCCGCAAGTCCTCGACATACGACTGATAGACGGCAACTGCTGAGCCGCGCCTGATTGGTTAAGGCGCGGCTGGCTGAGCGCGGGCTGTTTCTGTTATTCCTATTGGTTGCCCTGCTTGACAGCTCTAGTATAAATAGCTGTCAAGCAGGGCAAGGTGCTGATTGTGAATAGTTGTTCTCTGCTGTTGATGTTAATTAAAGCTGTTCTATTTTACCTCAGCCGTTCCACGCCTCCTCTGTCTTCACAGGATTTAATAGGTAGTCCCTCAGTTTATAACCATTTGAGGTGACCACAAACCCTTGAAAGATATTTACAATCTGATTCCAAACTTCCAGTGGCCAGTCACTCCCCCCCACACCCTCAGCATCGGATCACTTGATCACATTTCAGAGACTCCGCAAACAGCACCCAATTATGGTCATTTGCAGCATCCTGCAATCACATGACCACGATTAAGTTTTTGCTAAAAACAAAAATCAGCATTAATAGAAAAGATGCTGAGACTCTAGAAAGAGTGCAGAGAAGAGCCACAAAGGTGATTAGGGGACTGGAGACTAAAACATATGAAGAACGGTTGCAGGAACTGGGTATGTCCAGTTTAATGAAAAGAAGGACTAGGGGAGACATGATAGCAGTGTTCCAATATCTCAGGGATTTCCACAAAGAAGAGGGAGTCAAACTATTTTCCAAGGCACCTGTGGGTAGAACAAGAAGCAATGGGTGGAAACTAATCAAGGAGAGAAGCAACTTAGAACTGAGGAGGAATTTCCTGACAGTTAGAACAATTAATCAATGGAACAACTTGTCTCTAGAAGTTGTGAATGCCCCAACACTGGAAATCTTTAAGAAGATGTTGGATAGCCATTTGTCTGAAACGGTATAGGGTTTCCTGCCTAGGCAGGGGGTTGGACTAGAAGACCACCAAGGTCCCTTCCAACTCTGCTATTGTATTGTATTGTATTGTATTTCCAGTTTTTGCCCCGTAGAGAAGAATTGGCTTGTTAATGACTGCAGTCCACATAATTATGCCCATGTAAGATTGTAACATGGGAGATCTGCTTTACGACCATCACAACAAATAACCGTAATTTCAGGCTCCAATACTGTTGTAAGCCGAGGACTTTATACAGGTAGTCCTCAACTTACGACCACAATTGATGTTGCTAAGTGAGAATTTTTTTTTCATTTATGTTTCTAAGTGAGAAATTTGTTAAGTGAGTTTTGCCCCATTTTACGACTTTTGTTGCCACCTTTGTCAAGTGAATCGCCGCAGTTGTTAAACTGGTAGCCCGGCTGTTAAGCGAATCTGGTTTCCCCACTGACTTTGCTTGTCAGAAGGTTGCAAAAGGTGAATCATGTGACCCTGGGACATTGCCACTGTCATAAATGTGAGTCAGTTGTCAAGCATCTGAATGCAAATCAAGTGACCATGGGGATGTGCTGCAATGGTCATAAGTGTGAAAAATGGCCACAAGTCCCTTTTTTTCAGTGACGTTGCAACTTCAAACATTCACTAAGTGAACTGTTGTAAGTCAAGGACGTTATATAAACATTTGTGCTATAAACAATTTCTTAACTATTTGCAGATCTTTCTTTGAATCTGCTGTGCATTATGTCTGTCTGAAGAGGTTAAATTGCATCCCACATTAACACAAACAGAAAAGCAGTTGCCTCTCTCTCTCTTTGAATTAATTTCAATATCAGGGGGGTTATTAGCACCAGGGAGGCAGTGGCTTTCCATAAGTCTATATACATATACAATGCAATATGGTTTAGCTGTTCCTGCACCTTGAAACCCCTAACCCTGTCTACTTAGTGGTGAAGAAGGAAAAAAACAATGAAGGGAAGGATAAAAATAAACACAATAAAGGGTGGATACCAGCAAACACAATTGGGCTTCATCCTTGCGGCTAAGGATGAGTACTGAGGCATTAAGCCAGGAGTGAACAAGCTTTGGCCTTCAGACTGCTTGCAGTCCTGGATCTAATTAGAATGACCCTTGGCCTAATTTCAAAACCCTCAGCAGTCAGATTAGAGTACTAGGATGAGGGGTCTGCCACTGTTTTATCATCTACAAGGCAGAAAGAAAAGAAAAGAAAACCAAGAAATGGAGAGGGGGGTCATCCTTTACACTTTTCACTTTGGTCTTATCTCTTAAGTGTGTGCACATACACACACACACACACACACACACACCCCACTAACAGATTTCCCCATTGATAAAATGTTTCCTGCACCCAGAAAATATCTCCCTATCCTTAAGCCACAGGTTTCACAAAAGCAGAAATGTGGACGAAGTGAAAAAGAGAGAGACAGACACACCCCAAATATTTTGCTTTATGTAGACTGTTTACAGCCGAATCAAGAAATTAACTCTCTGAATTCTTTCTAGCAAATTGGGATAAAACAAACTTTGGATTCCACTGGCCTTGGAAGAGGAGCTAGGAAGAAGTCTCTATGCTCTCCCAAAAGCTCAGCATGAATAGAATTGTTGTGTACGACAAGCCCAATTTTGAGGGCCTCAGCAAAGAGTTCACGTCTGATGTCCCTGACCTGCATGAATTGGATTTTGGTGACTGCATCTCCTCCTTGAAGGTGAGAGGCCAGCCCTGGGTGGCCTACAAGCTCTCTAAGTTTGAAGAGGACGGCGTCATTTTTGAGGAAGGGGATTATGCCGAGATTGACAACAACAACAGAATTTCATCCCTACGACTAGTTCACCAGGATCTCTCTGACCCCCAAATTACACTGTACGAACACCCCAACTATGAAGGTCAGAGCAAGGTGGTGAAGGAGGAGACCAACCTGGCCTACGGTTACTTTAATGACCGGGTCTCCTCCCACGTGGTGCAGAGGGGCGTCTGGCTGCTCTATAAAAATGCAAACCGTGGGGGGTGGTATCACATCGCCTGGCCAGGGGAACGCATCCATGACTATAAAACGGAGATCAACTTTGATAATAACGTCTCTCACTTGAAACCCCTGAAGCCGGGCCGCCCAATCATTACCGCCAAGCTGCTGTGGGATCTAAAGAAAGTGGAAGCTGAGCATGATGTTCTGATTGATGAGATTGTGGGGACCAACTGCACCGAATACAAACAAGCGTTCACCACCAACTCCACTCGAGAATACACTGCCACGGTGTTCCAGAGCTTCCACTTCAGCAACACCACCTGCCTAAAACTCGGCTTTGCTTTCCAGGTGACCTTGGGTTGTTCCAATATATTTATAGTGGAGAAAGGCAAAAGCGAGTCCACCACCACTACTGAGAAGGTAGAGGTCCTGCTGCCTGCCAAAATCCCTCCATGCACGGAACTTTCCATACAGGTGATCAAGAAGGAGACGACCACCTCAGTGCCAGTGGAGCTCACCATCTGTCAGAATGGCAAAGAAAAGAAGGAGAACGCTGAATACCGCTGTGTTTCGGGCCGTACCATCAGCACCAGATATACCATGAAGCCTGTCCCAGCAGCACCAGGCGCTTCCCAAGTTAAACCACAAGAAGAATGACGGAGGAGGAACACACAACTATGTCAACTCTTGCACGTGGAGAGATCTAGGAGGACATTTTCAAGCATGGCCTGGGCCAGGGATGAGGAAGAGAACTTAAGTTATTTCTGATTAGGCTCCTTTCAGATTAATGTTCTCGTGGTTAGATATGCTTCCAGACTGAGAAGGAAGAGAAAAACAAGACCCTTCTAGACGTGGTGATGGTTTCTGAATTTAAATAATTAGGTTACAGGGATATAATTAGGTTTGGAGATAACCGTTTAATCCGGATGGCAATTTATATAGAAAAAACATGAATCTTTTCTTGAAGGTATATTAACTACCCGGAAAATCAAGAATGGATGTAATAATTTTTCCTCAATTTGAACAGTTGATGCTATTCTTAGTACTGAACATCATAAAACAGCAGAATTAAAAGATCTACAAGGTTATCTGTATTTCTCAGTAAGGGGAGGAAGCAGTGGTTTGTTTTATTTATCTGATGAAATTGAATTTTAAATTGAATCTTTATTAGCTTACATAAACTTCCATTTAAAAACATTTCTTTTTACTTTCCTGGTCCAGCTTTATTTCTCATTAAAGTTATCCCTCTGATCTCAGATGTCTTATTTCACTGTGTCTAATCAGATTTTATTTGCTTAGTAGCTGATGACCCGAGCATAGCCTGGGTATGTATTTATCCCAATCCTGTATTAGAGGGAGCCCCCTTGTGGAGTACTGTGAAGCTGTTACCATGGCAACTCCATTGTGATGTACAGGAGAAGACATTTGAAGGCACAACAGGCTGCATCTTAACAGAACTTGAACTCAAAATGCACACTATCAGTGTCAAAGGTACTGTGATTTGACACTATAGATATAATTCAGTCCTTTTCATTTCAGCGGCCCAGGCATTCTGGAGTTATGCTGGAACACACACACATGGACACACACACAAACGGACACACATCCTAATGGGTAAGATCTTGTCTTACCCCCACATTATTTGTTTCCAGAGAGTAAGTCATCTGTGTACCAAGTTTGGTTGAAATTGCTTGAGGCGTTCCAGAGTTATGCTGGAACATACAGACACACACACACAGCTATATTTATTTAGATAGATGATAGATAGATGATAGATAGATAGATAGATAGATAGATAGATAGATAGATAGATAGATAGATAGATAGATAGATAGATAGATATCAAGCACTGTATATCTAATGCATAGCCATTTCAATTTAGTTATTGAATTCACCCATTTCTGGGTACATACCCTAAACTGAACTATAAATTAAACAAGCTAGTTCACAGCCCCATTTAAGACACGCATAAGACCCAGGGTCACAAAACCAGGCAAATTACTGCTAAAACCTACTTGAAGGCACATACTTGTAATCATTCGATCGGCAGGGCCACATGCAGCCAGTCCAAGCTGTGAGTGAGAACGGGGAACCCTTCCAAAAATTGCTGCCCAATTATATTTTGTAAGAGAACATAAAGGGGAATAATTCAGTTATATGTATTTTTTTTTCCATTCGATTTGAATCATGCTTTTTTGTGGATAATCCCAGTTGAATCACCGGGTGCCTTTCAAAGGCCAAATGAGGCAGTTAGCTCAACAAAGTCACACAGTCCTTGCTTTATGACTAGTATCCCATTGTTACTGACAAGAACCCCAACATAAGAGTATGTTGTGCGACTGTGCATGGCAGCCTAGTGAGGTCAAGTGCAGACGTAGGGATTCTTCCTTTCGTGGACATCCTGATGGCCCCTTCTCTGGATAGCCTCTTGGCTTCTCTTGACCCTTTGGGTTTGCCTCTTGCTAATGTACACTGTGACCATTCTGGGATTGCCATCAATTGCATCACACCAATTTCTACTAAACTGCAGAGCTGTTAACATAGGACTGTAAAGCTACCATTGGGGCAAAAAGGCCCTTGATGTTCAGAATCCTCTTCCTTGTAGCTCTCGAGTTATCCATTAAATGAGCAGGGAGAGGGGAGTAGGAAATGATGGCTCCGAAAATGGTCTTTGGACCCGCTTTGACTCACCATAGGGTGACTCAGGGCTATTGGTCACTGATTCCCCAGGCTTGTCAGAGTTGGAACCTTTTACCCAGTTAAATGTTCCGGAACAGCCCTTTGATCCCAAGAGGGAATGTAATTAAAGCTTCTGTGGTGAGATGGGCTGATGTTTACTAGTGTGGGCTGATGTTTACTAGTGTGGGGGAGAAGCACCGTGGTCTTCTGAATGGACTAGAAAGAATGGGCAAATATGTACCTGCAAAGAAACGGGTTGAAGCTCACCTATATCAATTAATCGGGATGTGGGGGGGGGGAAGTATGTCAAAAGCAAAGCTAAGGGAAGACGCTTTCTGTTCAGATTCAGGTGCATCTGTGGAAGACAATTTTAAAAGAGCCAAGATAGTGGGATGAAATATGAAGCAACAATCACTGTCGTCTTTTTGATCCTCTCTCCAGATATCTAAATTCACCTCCCATCCCCAAACATTTTGAAGGGCTGTTTCCATCAATGTAGTCATAATTAAGTCCTAGATCAGGGGTTGGAAACCTTAAACACTCAGAGAGCCATTTGGACCCGTTTCCCACAGAAAAGAAAACACCGGGAGCCACAAAACCGTTCCCGTGCCTGACTATTCCCTGAGTGCCCACAAAACTAGCATACGTATTTGAATTAAAGGTTCTGTTTTCGTCAGAAACTTTTCTTTTCTTGGATTTATCCATGGTTGGCCAACTGGGGGTCAAGCAGCTCAATAAATTGTGTGCTGTCAGGTGTCGCACATCGGCAGTTGTGACACATTTTGAGCGACAGGGAGCCGCAGCAGAGGGAGAAAAGAGCCACGTGCGGCTCCAGAACCGGGGGTAACTGACCCATGTCCTAGATCATTCTTTAATCTGATACCTGCTAGATCTGTTGAACCAACTCCTGCTCCCTACCTAGCACAAACATTGGCTACCCTAAGTAGGGATTTGAGGAGTTGGAAGGCAACACATCTCCAGATTGTGAAAACTCAATCTGGTCTCAGTGGGTCTTGACAGCAGTACTTAAAAGCTACAAAAGCTATGATTGTTGAAAATTGACAGCCGGGTTTACTGATATTTTAAAGTGAGAAACCCATGAAAATGATACTGCAAGCACTGAAATAGTTCATCTCTCAGTCCAACCCACTGTAGGAAGTTATCACCCAGCCCTCTCCCAGAAAAATGAAATATCCTAGGAAATATTGAAAAGGCAGAATATTT